AGTCGGAGATTATGATTTTTTTGTTAAAATCCATAAATTCAAGATGGCGGCTTCCAAATAATTTTTTGTTTTTGTATAAATGACGATAACTCCATTGTTATCAACACAAAACTATAACTGCGACATATCATCTGTAAGAGAAGAAAAAGTTATTTGTAACTAAGTCATAGTGAGCTATGACCTATATTTGAAAAACTGAAGTTGGTGCTGATATCTCAAATTCTAAAAAAGTTGGTATAAATTCCATATTCTTTTCGAAATCACTTTGAAAAACTGCCATGAGAATGTGAAATTCCTATTTGAATATTTTTATAAATAAAGAAGTTACGGAGGAGACATGAAAATGATCAAAATCTGTTTTTTGCGTATAAAACAAAAACGAATAGATTTTATCAAAATATTTTTCAACATTATAGTTGGCCTTGACAAACTCCACATTTGGTGTCATTTAACCGACCTCGTATCTCTCACCGTTAAAAAGATACCCATGGTGAGCATGGTAAGTGGGACACACTGTATAGTACGTGAATAGGACTTTCCCTTTGAGAGTGTCCAATTTGGCCCACCCTGTACATATAATACATCTGAGAGGAGATGAATGGACCCTCTGGTCTTTCAAATGGGCCATAAGCTTGCATTCTCAACAGATCGTTAGCCAAACGGGGGGTGAATTGGTGAACATATGGGGCTGTTGACTACTCGACAAATGATAAGCAATAATGTATCCTCCGATTCGGGTGGATAATATTCCATATCGTGGGTCATCTCACGTAATGACATATTTTATAAAAATCACTCATATTCTAGAGAGAGTAGATCTCACAAAGTAGCGTTAGCTCGATATTTAATGGTTTTCGAGTGAATAAATCAAAGGGGTAACGACATCATGAAATCCTGGGACAGGCTTGATGTAATCATCATGTGATCATCATGTATTCATCATGTAATCATCATGGTATCATATGAAATTTCATGAAATCATCATGTATTCATCATGTAATCATCATGGTATCGAATGAAATCTCATGAAATCATCATGTAATCATCATGTAATTATCATGAAATCCCTTGAAGACTTATATAATCACCATGTTATCATGAAATCAGCTGGACAGGTTTACCATCAGTGTACACCCCCTCGAATTGAAAATCGAATATTCAGCCATATCTCAAATTATTGGACTACCCAAATCTCACGAGTTGACGACCGCACTATTGAAGTAACGTGTGTAGAAAATAACAAATATTCTCCTAGCTTATACCACAGAATATTGAATTATATCCAACCAAGGGTTATTTGGACGATTTGTTCTTATGTTCTGGTTCCTACTAAAAAGGATATCCTGTAATGTTAAGAGAACATCGTGAGAACCAAGGAAAATGAGGTAGGAATTGGTGTTCTTCTTAAATTTCTGGAGGTTATATGCCTCGGAAAACACCTCCCTCGGCAATGTGTTTCAGAGCCTCGCTGTTCGTTGGATGAACGAGTCTTTCGAAAGAGATGTACGTCTCCAAAGTGATCACGAATCACGAAGGGGTGCGAAGCCTCAACTAGACGGGTTAATCTCGCGGGGACAGCCAAAGGAGGAACAATTGTTGATATTTCAGAAGAGCATCGTCCATGAAAATATCTATAAAATAGAGCCAGATCTCCAACTTTCCTACGGTGTTCCAGAGAAGTGAGTGAGTTTGTGAGCGAGGCCTCACCCACGAGGCAAACAGAGTGACTATAGATTATATATATTATAAGATCAACAATTTAATCACATTATTTTACATTCAGATATTATATGATGTCAACATATGTTAATGATTCACTGAGTGTATTATAATATCGACACATCAAATACACTCTATGATGAGGCATATGTCGAACAATATCTCCCCTGGTGCTGCTGACTAGAGCAGAACCTCGAATAGTATATTGTTGTATCAGGATCAAAAGTGACACCTTGTTTGACAAGCGAATTTTGCATTTGCGAGGCAGAGCGTCTAGCGAAGCTGAATGAATTAGTTAGGATACAGTCCATGAAGTGGAATAAGATGTCTGTTCAAATTGACTTTTGTATTCAAGCAATAGCAATAGTCTACAAGAAAATCTAGTATAAGTATTGACATTTTTGAGTTAATTCATGTAGAATGATGATGATTTTCTTGTCAACCTGACGAGTAGGTGAGTAACCTCGACCAATTTCGAATTCAAAATCTATCTCACTATTATTTCCCTTGAGTCTTTTTCGAGAGATGAAACCTTATAACTGATAAATATGCACTGATGATGACTTATAGTCAAAAGCGCTCTGCTACGAAACATTGAATAAATTATTTTGCACTTGGTAGATTTCAATGCAAACAAAACAAAAAGCATGCCATTTCTCTAGAATAGCCGACCTCACTGTGCCCAACATAAGCTTGTCAGGAGTAACCATGCCTTTGGAGACATCCATATCGATGCTTGGTATTACTATCAGCAATAACCTTTCTTGGGACAATCACGTGAGATCAATTGCTTGAAGTGCATTCCAAAAACTTGGTTCTCTGTTTCGGGCCAGGAGCTATATTTCACTTTAAGTCAGCTACTTATGATCTATAAGGCATATATCCGACCTGTCCTGAAATACTGTTCCCATATTCGAAGTGCAACACCCAAACATACCCTGAAACTGTTGAATTCTGTCCAAAAAAGGGCAATTCGTCACGTGGGTGATGCCTCGCTCACAAACTCACTAGCTTCTCTGAAATTACGTAGAAAAGTTGCCAATCTGGCTCTATTTTGAAGATATTCTCATGGACGATGCTCTTCTGAAATATCAACAATTGTTCCTCCCTTGGTATTCCCCGCGAGATTAACCCGTCGAGTTGAGGCTTCGCACTCCTTCGTGGTCACTTTGCTGCAGAACATCTCTTTCCAAAGACACGTTCATCCAACGAACCGCCAGGCTCTGGAACACATTGCCAAGGGAGGTGTTCTCCGAGGCATATAACCTCCAGAAATTCAAGAAGAACACCATTTCCTACCTTATTTCTCTTGGTTCTCGCGATGTTCTCTGAACATTACATGATATCCCTTTTCGTGGGAACCAGAACATAAAAAAACGTAATACTATAGTTCGTATATTTTTTCAGATATATCAAACTGCTTTGTCATCTGAAATATTGTGAGCTGATAATTAATTTTCTTGGGGGACTATATATGCTCCTATTGTTGTTTGGCAGATAAAATCCGAAACGTCCTGTTCAGTGTATGGAAAAAACTTCAAGAGGTCGATTGGCCACGACAGACGAATTAATATTTTTATTTTCATGTCTTTCAAAACGCCTGTAAGAAAACACATATTGATATTCTTCATATTGATTGAAATATTCGCATTGTCATGGTTAATTTCTTCATGAACTAATAGAAACCCTGTTTGTATCTTCACTACCGAAATGAGCCAAATATACGTTTTTCAACTCAACTTGGACCATAACATTCAAAAACCTGGATTCAGTCTCAAACTTAGAGAAAATTGTAGTGCGTCTATGCTGATACTGTGTACCTGTTACTTATCGGATATGTATAAAAACATCAGAATTCTCAAAAATAATGTTTCGTTATTATCTCATTGTTTTCACCGTTCTTATACCTCGTTCTTTCTTGTTATTCGGAGGATAACAGCTATTCCGTCTGCAGTATTTTGAATGACAACAAAAAACGGTGGAAAAACAAATGAGAAAACACGGTTACAAAGTACGGTCGTACACACATTATATGTATATGAGCACCATGCCTCGTATTACTTTGTTCTGTGCTTGAAATATTTGAAATCAGGGATGGATTGTTGCGACATGTCTCATGGTATCCTTGAACTGTTACTCAGATTGTTTCTCGTCCACAACCACTATCTCGTATTTTTATCATCCCTTGTAGGGCAACAGGGAATTCATATAATGTTCAGAGAACATCGTGCGTGCCTAGGAGGAATAGGGACAACAGGTAGGATTATTTGTAACTTTTGGAGAATAAGTTCTCTGGTATATACTTCAAAAAATTTCAAAGCTTTGCCGTTCTATTGATCAACTTCAAGGTTGACGAAAATATGTTCTGACTGGAAATATCCCATTAAGAAGTGAAAGGTCGCCGATGATGATGATCATGATTGTCCGAAACATTTTCTATATCATTCTCTAGTTGTTTCTAAATGAACATGACTAGAAATTTTACCGAAATATTGTCCGTAGGTTAATCGCGGCTATCATTTATTTTTCAAGAAAGTTGTTGAAACTATACTATTTAGCAAATCTTACGGATCTGTATATACCTACATCAAAACACCACATTTATATTGAGAAAGGACGAAAAAGTATTCAGGCAGATGAGTTCCTCTGTAAACTTGTGAATGAAAGAAATTTCAGCTGACTTCCTAGTATCTCTCGACCTATTCTTACCAAAATATTCCACATTCCAAAGAACGGTTGTAGTTTCATGACATCGTTTTATATTTACCAGTTGATTATTTATCCAGTCTCAACAACTCCACTCAATATAAGTTTCATTTTGTTATTTGAATAATCAAATCCAATTAGAGTAAACATTCACCTGAAATTATATATGATAATGTTCTCCCACGGATCATCATCGAATTATTGAACCAATATCGTCACAATATTGCATCTTAAAATTTGAATTTTCCGGAGTAGAATTATATTAGCCACTTTTTCACCAATATCGCAACTTCAATATCAAGTCATATTGTACCAATTTTGTACCTCTACATGGAATCATCTATGATGTTATGTTTTTCCACAAATAGTCATCGAATTATTGAACAACATCGTCCCAATATTGTAGCTGATGATTTGAATTTTTTCTGAGAAGCCAATATCTCATGAATATTGCTATTACAATATCAACTTATATATTGGACCAATCTTGTACTGCATCAGGATTCAGCCAATGAGATGTCGTGCCTAGGAAGAGGGTTGTATTCTATTCAGATACCAGAACGTTTTTTTTGCAGCCTGTCGCCAAATGGAGTTCGGAGTGCAAGGTATTTTCGGTCCGTCCGACCCAATTTTGGGGGCACACATCCAGAGCATCTGCGAAGCCTTAGACGTACCACACATAGAGGCGCGCATCGATTTCGAGCCACTGTCCAAAGAGCTGTCCATCAATCTGCATCCCAGTCAAGAAAGCATGAACAAGGCCTTCAAAGACCTCATGTCCTTCCTGAATTGGACCAAGGTGGCTGTTATTTACGAAGAGGATTATGGTGAGTTCGATATATAAATATTTCCCTGTCATAATATGGTGTTATCACTTCACACGGAAAAAAAATTGTTGAATTAAGCAAAATTTATTTGAATGGAGCGAATAAAAGTGTCATATATGCACGACAAAATATAATCTTGAAATGAGTAAATCTATATCTTGTTTCAGAGCGAATTTGAAGTTTGAATCGAGTAAATATGTCTTGCATTAACTCTGGATCCTCTTCAATCAAGTACATTCATGAAATGTTTATGAAGAGATATTGAATTGGATCAAACAATCATTTTGTTTGATTCAAAATAACAACCTATTGCCTCAATCAAATATTTGGTTGATTCAACGAAATATTTGGCTGATTCAAAGAAACATTTGGTTGATTCAATGAAATATTTGTTTGATTCAATGAAATATTTGGTTAATTCAATGAGATATTTTGTTGATTCAAGAGGAACTATATATCCATTCGACAAATTGTTTTGGTGAACCAAATTCAATATTCGGGAATTTTCTGAAATTTCACATCAATAGAATTAACAAAACTAGGATTTCTAGCATAGATCTTCAGTCTTTACTTCTCCTCAGCTGATGGAAAACTATTTCGGATTGCTAATCATCCTAAGTTCGATTCATCCAGCTGATATTTCAAAAACGAAGAATCAGGCTTCACGTATACAATGAATTCGAGGCAGGCATAGACGGGGCGAAATGATCGCCATCTAGAGGCGGAAATTTAAGTTGATGTAGAATGAACAAAATATTTCATTGATATTACAAATTTCGTTGCTCTATTCAAGCAAATGATCCGTTCGAAACAAGTTCATTGCTACATCGGAATAAGAAAACGTGTATGTTGTTTCAAAGATATATTCCCATCAAAATGATCATTATTTGATCAAATCAACAAAATGTTTATAGTTGAATCAACATCGACATTATCTTGGATCAACATAAATTGTTTTTGATAAAACTATATATTTTGTTGATGGAATTGATATTATACTGTTGATTCAATTAGACTACATTCTTGATTTGAACAAGCTGCTTCCATGAAATGATCATGTATCTGGTTGATTCAACGAAGAATTGCTTAGTCCAACAAAAATAATTCAAGTATAAATAATTTGTTGATGTAACAAATCCTTTTTTTCCGTGCATTGATGAAATAAACCTCTGGTGCGCTCACTCTTCATTTGTTTTGTCAGACTGGTTCTTGATATAAACGATTGAATTTCAGACGATGACGTGGGGTTCACATATCGAATGTTAGATGGCGTGATTCTTAGAACTTATGATCATCAGTTCTACCAACCTTGATGCGGCTAAATCGCAAAATGTATTCCCTATCTTCTTTGGTCACAATTCGGTCACAATTGTCACATTGATGCCTGTAATTTTGGTACGGCACCAGACTAAATTTAGCGACATTCACCCACGCCATGTTATGTTCATCGAAGTAGGCGAAAATCAAGGAATTGTAAAACAGGAAAGGATTGAAGTGCGCACACCAGAGATTTATTTCATCAATATCACTTCCTATTGAAAGTAGTTTCGAAATATCTTGATATCGCCTACTTTGTTAAAATAGCGAGGCTGGAAGAATCTTGCATAATTTCCGAAGTTTCAAACCAAATTTACAGGCATCATTATACACATTCATTTGAGTTCACATTTTCATGTTCATATTTTTTATGTAAATGGAATTGATGCGTTATATTTTCGACTCTCATGAAAATCCTGTGATAATAGTTTATTTACTATTTTTTGGTACATCCGATAAAACAAGTATTCGGATTTTCAGATAATCCTCACACATTGCAGCAGTCAGTCCATGATGAAAGCACAATACACTCACTCAACCAATAATATAATATCAATACCTTCTTGATATACTACTAATGCTCTCAAACTCATAATATTTCTATTTGAAATTTGAACAAAATCTTGTATATGCCAAAAACATGATATTCGTGACAGGACAGTTATGTCAAGTCAAGATCAACATGTTTCCGCACGGATTACTTGTTGCGCCATGTCTCTCTTGCGTCCTGTCTCTAAATGCTTTGTTGTGAGTAGACTGTTTCGACCACGTGAATTTGTGAAACTTTGAGCTTATTTGAACTGACGTGAAATTTGGACGTCACGTTCGTGTACGTATCATCCTGTTTTCACGCATTTGATTTTGCGATTTTTGTTTTCACAACTATGTTGCACATGCTTCAAGTTATATATGTGACATATTGAAAAAAATTGCATCAAATATTCGTGTTGTCATATGGCAACGCTAGGCGCTTATACTCAGCAAATGTGGTGACTCTCCTGCCGAGCCAATGGATATTGAACCATTGGCCGGACAATCTTCTCTTCGGAATTCTGCTAATATTTCGATTCCAATTTGTGATGGGTCAAATAATCAGATGACTGAGCGAGAAACGACGAAGTTATTCAGCACTTGTCAGGAGAAACCAGGTGGTATGCGTTTTTTTTTTTGGAAGTAATCAAGTGGTTACTATTTGTTCATGGGCGAAACTGATCAGATGGATCGAAATATACTGACCCCTAATCACTTGAGTATCAGACGCAGCCATCCAAAATAGCTGGATTTTGACAAAGACTGTTTCAAAATGTGATGGAGGTATTTGTGTTAATATTCCAAAACATGTATCACAAGCGCCTAGTATTGCCATAATGCAACAGCAGATTTTTGGGAAACCTGACTTCCATTTATGATTCTTTAAACTTATCACGTCTTTCGAAAGCATTCCACACTAGTTGATGGCCATACAATTTTAGGAAAAAGGAAATAATAATTCCGGCACTAATGGGTTGATAATTATATTCGGAAGGCATTTTGAAAATTTTCAAGAAATTATCCATTGTTCACGCCATCTGTCATCGAATATGAGAACCCCACGTTCCAAACTAGCATTCAATTGTTCATATCGAGAGCTAGTCTGACTGAACAATTAGAGTGGGCACCCCTACATGCTCCGCCTCGCAAATGCAGAATTCGCTTGTCAAACAAAGTGTCACTTCTGATCCTAATAAAACAATCTACTATTTTCCAATCGAATCTGAGAATACCATTACACAATATTATGCAGGAATATTGAAATACTATTATCCAAGTCACAATTAGGAGACTTTTATTCAGATGAAGATTATCCCTAAAGTGACCCTGTTTTACTGGCAAATATCGCTGGTCAAACAAAGTGTCGTATTTGATCCTAGTAAAACAATGTACTATTATCCTCGTGATAGTTTACTTCTTCTTGTAATCGTTCGTCTGCAGACAGAACCACTATACGATATTTAAATTATTTTGAGAAGAATCCGTTCCTAAATTAATCAAAGCTTGCGATTACTTTCACCACTTGAACCTTAATCTCTATATTGCTCTGTTCAAGAAGTTTATGTCTGACAACAAATGGGCCCAAACTACATCTCTAAGTTTATCATTTCATGCCACAGAGAACTTCTGATTGTAACTAAAAAATACCATTGATTAGATCAACACAAGATCAACATTCAACTGATGCCATTCAATTATCCGACGTTCTCCTTCTCCTCCCGTCGGATACAGTGACAAGCCTCATTCATCTTCATTAATCGATTTTTTTGTCATAACTGATCGATTTCGGCTGCTTCTGAATGATTGGGAGTTAATGGATTTGTTTTGGTTACACTCGTTCAGCTCTTCGGTGGCTTTTTATTTTCACATAGTGAAAAGTCACTTCAGATTTTATTGAACCCTTGTACTTCAGCATTTTGTGAAAATATATTTATCAGGAGATCATCATATGATCATACAATTCGCGAGATTCATGAAGTGGGCGACATCTAGGTTAAATAATACGAACTTCGAACTGAGGGAAAATAAACTGTTGTCTGTGGATAAAGTGCATAGACAACATTGCATTCAGCTTGCTGTAGCTGTAGTCAAACTTGTTAATGACATGAAGTGTTGGCACTATTGGTAGTGATGATGGTTCAGTTTGTTAATTTTTTTACATTATAAAATTTTTATTAGTTCAGTGAACAGTGAACGGGTGAAGAATTGGAAATAGTTCAAATAATTCAAACTAATTATGACGAGCAAATCAATTGACATATGAAAAAACAGCTACAACATGTTTACAATACCCAAATTGTCCCGCTTTGCAGGAACAAATACAAATCCATTATTCCACAGGAGTTCCTCTGGACCCCAACTTCAATTTTACTTCATGTGGGGAAGATTTCATCGCCGAAGTTTGTAGACAAAATGCAAAAATGTGCCTTTTGTTGAAGTCTTCTGCCTCACACAAAATTAGCATGGAGAACTGCTTCTCCTTCCACTACTGGTCGGCTATTTTCATCCAAATAGAGCAAAATATCTGCCAAAAGAACATCTACAACAGGTATTATTGGCGATTTCGATCGAATATTGACAATTAATGTCAAGAAATTCAAAAACTTATCACTCCTATCAGTACACAGTTCACAAGCTAATGGCACTAATGAGATTGAGTGAGTATTGAGTTTGTTTTTCCCCAGTTTTGACGTGGCTTTGACATGGAACGATGAAAACCGAGCCCCACCTGGTAACATTGGTTCCCGCGAATAGATACGAATGCATCTATTGATGATCTATTCGTCACAATGATGTCGATGATTTCAATTTAGTACCAATCACATGATCAGAGCATGATCCATATCACAGTTATAATAAGAAAAAAAATAAGAGGACATCAAGTAGATATAGGTCCATCTGAAAATATTACATATATTCGATGTTAAATTCTTTGCAGAAATTCGCTCTTCACGGTTCATCTGATCAGTAGTTTAGTTTGAATGAATCCATGATATTACCTTCAAATCTTCATATTTCATGTGAATCAAAGTATCGATCCAAATGACTAATTCTATCATCGAATTGTAATCGAATGGACTAGTTATATTGCCAGATTTTCAACAATTAGGATATAAAATATGAAAAACTATTCTCCAGGGATATTTTTTTAT